ATAGCTCTCTGAGCGAACTGAAAAAAGATCTGTCATCGTGACAATCCTGGGAATTCATGTCATTCAACTCGGGAAGTCGCTTGCCATCGACTGGGAGGCAAATAGGAATATATTCGATGATTTGGCCCAAGTTTTGTAAGTCCAAAGGTTGAATAGAAATGCTGTTTTCGGTCATGCTGAGAAAGCGGACGCTGGGGATCCAACGCAAGATGTGTGACTTCACATGGTGAGTTGTCGGATCTTGCCGCCGGGGGGCGTTGAATTCGGATGATACGCCGGGTGATAGCTCGGCAGCACTTCCAGACAGAACGTCTACGGAGGGCCCACGCCAAGCTAAATTGAGGAAGCTTGTCACCGTATCTCCAAGTGTGGCGTGCTCTACATGCGTGTAGTTGCTGGCTTGACTTTGGGTCCGCGGGCCAATTAACCCATGCTGTGATGAACCCATTCGAGATACACTGGTTTGAAGTAACATACTCGCGTAAAGGAATATTACCATCGAGATCAACATCACAACAAGCAAAAGACTCCAGTGAAGCGCCCTAGAGTCTTTTATGATCGACAACAGCCCAGCTATCATGGCGACTGCCCAAAGATAATGGAACCGGTTTGGGGTTAGTGATTCGAACCTAGGAACATGCGGTCCTTGGAATGTGTTCTTTAAAGTTAGGAATCAGTTCAGTATTATTAAAGAAGTCGCACTTACTGTTTGGAGTTTTTCCATCTGCGATCTACGTAGATGCTGGTTGTAGTCGTGTTTGCGTCAGTAAACCATGTGCGAGTAAATGAGTAAGTATCTACCGAGTAGTACCTCAGCGCCAAAGTCGTTGTCAACCACGCACCTTCTTACTCATGGCTTTTCCAGCCTTCAGGATTGACTTGCATTCTGTTTGGAGTGCCTTTGATTTGCGATGAAATCGATGGAGGGCGTTGCATGTCTTTCGTATCTGTGTCAAATGTGCGAAACAAGCGTCAGCTCCCGTCGGCTCTGGAGTGTTCGCAAAAAAGTAGTGCGCATCTGTTGCCATGAAAGACTTGAGCGATTTCAAGGTTTCCTCGAGAGCTTGTTCGCAATCCCGTAACAGTTCTTCTGTGTCGACTACTGCATCTTCAAAGTCGTCGAGATCTTGCAACAGACTGTGGTGCCGTGGGTCTGTTTGGAAATCACGAGCCGAAAACTGAAAGCGGCGAAGAAGATATTTATCTTTTTTGGACTAAGAGAGAGAAATAGTCAAGCAGTTGGCTACATTGCGTGATGGAGGTCCAGGGGTTCTTACGGCTTCTTTGATCTTTGTCTCCAAGCGGAAGAGCAAGGCAAGCCATTCGTCATGTGCTTGCAGTAAACGAATGTCCAAGATGCTCAAAAAGTACGAGCGTGGATACCAATCGGACCTTAATGCCTCAACCCGCCCGCGAGCGAGTGGATCACAAGCCATCCCATCCATGAGATCATTGTCGTATCGTTCTATAGTATCAGGCGTTGGGTCGTCTCCCGGTGTTTCAAACCAATCTTCGGCAAACAGTATCCCAGTCCACCTGTACTGGTCAATCCCTGTGACTGCACAGCTGATATGGCTTGCGTAAATCGCGTCTCTGGAGCCGTCTTCGTGGTGACAGTCGGAAAGATGCCTCAAGAAAGTCACGTCTCTTGAAGACCTGAGGGATTGACCATCGGCTGTTTTCACCCTACCATCTACCCTTAAACTCGAGTCTGTGCGCCAGACGCGAAGTGGGAACGAAAATTCCATCGTGAAAATGGCTGGTCCCTCAGTCTAAGTGTTCCAGTGAATCCCTCGTCAGACAATCAATGATTTCCAAGTTAATATCCAACTGACTGTATGTGCCTACTCACAGAGAAGGAGACGCTCAGAGATGTTGTGGAGCGAATATAGTTATCCATCAGAGTGCCCAGGACATGAAACAACGATTCTGGAGCAGACCCCAGCAGGGCAACAACAGCCCAGGAACCGAGGTTCACAATGTAGCTTGCCAGAAAGGGCACTTTTAGCCATTTGACGTTATGCGGATGAAGCGGTGGCTTCGAACTTACATCAATCTTCTCTCCGCATCTGGAACGTAGTTGGCTTCCCCTGGTGAAGATTCTTGCTCATGAACTTCTTTGTAGCGCTATGCATTCATCAGCCCTCCGTTGAAGCTTCACACGTTCCGCTACTTACAGCTTTCATCAGTTCGTTCATGAGATCCGGTACGCTCAAGCCTCCGTGGAACGGCCTAAGTTTTGGCTGCACGTTGATGATGTTACCGTCAATCAATATCGCTGTCTTGGTTTCGGGGATGCTATCGTCCCGACGAAGTAGCTTTTCGAGAGTTGCACCTTCCACTAGATTCTCGATAGCTTCGAGCCGGATTTCATCAGCAGCCCAGTTTTGCTCAGTTTTAAGACAAGACGTAAATTCCTCTTCGTCTTCAATCGGACTACAAATGTCTCTGAGACCTGCTTGCATCCAAGGTGTGTTCTCCCAAGAATCGGAGGAGGTTTGTCGCACAAGAAATCTCTCAGGCCAATAGAAAGAATGAAGTTGCAACGGTGTGGCCGATAAATGTACTGATCTGTCTCGAGACGGCGTACGACGTAACGGCGCAGGCAAATCTGGGCTCTTCTCGCCCTCGTTCCTCGTCGAAAGTCTGGCTAGACTGTCGTTTCTCATGATCTGGCAGGCCAGGCTGATGGGGCATCAAACCTTTGCAAGGATTAGACAGGCGGACGAAAAGCTACAGGCAAGATCAGTTTTACGAACATGATCATTACCGCTAATGAAGAAATAAACCGATCTAAGAGAGGGCGAGGGGCAACATACCTGCTTATGAAATTAAAGGCGGCTTGCCGTATAATAAATAGACACTCGATGATACAAGGAGTAACATCAAGTAAGGTGAGGTATCCCAGGTTCCTTGAGGTTAGACCCCTTCAGATTTTACGACGAGTATTTTATGATGTGAAGGTGTAAACGAAGCATGTTGCTTGATGGAGAAGAAGAAGTTGTGAAAGACGTGCCTATGAACGGTTGAAGGTAGGGGGTGCCGGCAGGACCACCGCGTTTTTTTCAACATCTGCATCCATCATAAAGTACCCTACAGTCATATGAGGCACCATTTAGTTTCGTCTTCTTCCCCCGAAGTACCTCACATGAATTGCCATCCCGAGCATTGCCCTTGAGGCGTAGCCATTGGGGCTTGGGGCTGAGAACCTTAGTCGAGGAGTGTTTTGCAATCCAGGGCGACGAATGGGGCCCTGGGTTTTCATAGTACCTATCGAACCAAGGAGTATTTCTAGTTTGCGTATACTTTGAAATCTGATGCATGCAGTTTGAGAACGTCCGATGATCCTTCTGTGCGGTATCACAAGCCTGACGAGCCAGAATTCTTCCCCGTCGTTCACTGCCTTTATCCACTCGGCCAGAACGTAACGACGGACCTCCATGCGCTGTCACCCAAGGTACTTTGAGACTATGATAGATGGTCCACGAGCTGACAGAAGGGGTCTTGGTAGAAAATGCAGCAATGCCGTGATTGCACACGAACGAATGGTTAGGTGCCACGTCTCTGATCATAAGTCCACCTCCACGCATCAATGTGGCCCTCTCCTTTCAACTGTGTAAGCTCTTCTCGTCGTTTACCAAAGGTGCACTTAGCAGGGAAAGGAACTTGAAGCAGGCAATGCGGGGAACCAGCCTAGGTAACATGCAAATATGCATCAACTTGGCCAGTAGAATTTGCGAAAGTGCCATGACGGCCCAATTCAGGTATACATGCGTTGCCTTGGAGCTTGTAGTTGGCTTACTCTTATCATTCATCCGGGGCTGTCACTTGATTATCATTACTGGTTAATATCGAAACTCTCGAAATTATTGAACTTCGTATTTGATAGGTTACCTGACTTTCGTTGACCAGCAGGCTCCGAGGTAGCTTCGCCCGAGATGGGTTAGCCTGAATCAGAACATTGGAGACCATGCCGTGTAACTCATTCCTTCTCGACTGATGTCGCCCGATCCGATGGCTGCGCGCCATCATAGTCATCTTTTGGCCTCAGCCCAACGAGCAATGAATTCGAACCTAGAAGCCAATGCACTTTTTGCGAGGGCAATAGACCGAGAATTCTGCCAATGAGGCTTCAAGGCTTATTTTCCAAATTTGATCTGAGATCTCACGATTGCTCTAGATAGCACTTGTTCTCAAAGCCGTGACTAAGGTTATATTCGAAGCGTTAAGTGAAAATTGAGCCCATGCCCAACGCCTCGGACTTTTACACCTTGTTCAACCTTGTGTTCAACCTTGTGTTCCCTCAGATCTCACACGTCTCTCGGCTACTTACCGCGTCTCTTTGTTCATGCCGGGACTATTACCTGAACCATGAAGCCTCAGGGTCTCGAAATTGACGAGTCTAAGATCTTCAATGATACAGGGATGGGGCATTCTAGCCAGTTGAGACATCTTTGGGCTTGGCAAAAAGGAAGTCGCAAACCCGTTGTGGCCAAAGAAACCCACTGCCAAGCTATCTATCGGCCGGTATCTAAAGAGTTGATGAAGAGCAAATCTGCAGGTAAAGGAATAAATATCTTACAACCGGATACAACCGAAACTCCAAAAGCCTTTTCTGGCAAGCATTCATTCAAGGCAATGGCCAGCGTAAGCTCTTGAGAACACATAGCAACAGCCTTGTCGGGTAAAAGCAAGCTTTCCATAAACCTCTGAGACCTTCTGATATCGGAAGATGTAGAAGCTTTCCCATCGACTGCTGGATGGCGTCGGTACAGATATCTCCAGTTTTCTCTAATACTGACCTCCCTCTGAATATTTTGGATACAGGGGAAAGAAAATAAAGCGGTTTTTATACGGAATATCCAAGAATAACATGTGATTTGCGACTACTCCTCACAAGGAATGCGGTAAGATATCCTCGAAAGACGAAGTATGAAAAACCCTAAGAAGAAGGATAGGCGCCTTATGTGGTCACTCATTTCGTTTCTCTTACCTTGTTTGCTGCTTTAATATTGCTTTCATGTTTCCGCAACCAACTCTCACCTTCTCTGACCCCTAAGGACGGAGAGTGTATCAAGTCGGGTTCGCCTCCTCAAGCTCCATTACTTGGCCCCTGGCGCTAGGCGTTCCGGCCATGGTCCTTCTAATGTCCTGAACTTGAACCCTGTCAACCAACCCGGTAAAGAATGTTCTTCGTGGTGCTGACTGTTGCTCCCATTCTCTCCCTATGTTGTCGCGTGTTCCTTCACCTGCATAACGGCCATCTTCCGTATGATCAGAACAAGTCTTCGTCGTTTGAAACAACCATTGACCACTGGCCAATCTTAGAACAAAGAGTACTATTATGACCAACATAACAGTTATCACGATCATTACGATGATAAAATTTTGCCAGTTCCGCTTGAATGTGACGATGTCATCGCATCCAAAAATGGCAGCCGTGATGATGAGCGGTTGAGTAAGCTTTTTGCAGTGTCAGTTCTTGATAAAAGCAGTAGTGATATGAAGGCAAGCTTACAATCGTAATCCATGCCAGCACGCGAGGCTCGAAGAGATGCACATGGCTAGATGGTGCTACGGGCGCAAGTTGAACACGATACTATTCGGTCTTGTTAGTCAACCTGATGTAATAGGCACTTTGAGTCTGGAAACGGCGGAGTCATAATCAACTCATCGCTAGGCTATGGGAATGTTGGAGACTTACAATCTTTCGCGCCGAGACGGCCTCATCCATCAGGTCTCTACACTTTTGCTGCATATCCCTGAGTCTCATTCCTAGTTGCTCGAGGATATTGAACGTGTTCCGGATTTGCGTCAAGTGTGGAATACAAAGAGACGCGTCTTCTGATTCATCATAGTTAATGAAATAGCGGACGTCTGTATTCATGAAGGATTCGCCGCTTCTGACGGTCTCTTTCAAATCTTGCGCAAGCTCCTCCAGAATGTCTCTCAGTTCACTGAAGCCCCTTTCAAACTCATCGAACTCCCGCAGGATCTGAGCCTGTCTCGATTGGAACTCTCGTGGCTCTTTCGCTGGCACTCGGGCACGTGTAATCAAATCCTTATGTCGCCTGGTCTAGATAGATGGGACTTGTAAGCGTCGTAATGGTCTAATGGCAGCGGAGGAACATTAGGGTCAATCACTCACTATGGCTTTTAATCTTTCGTCAAGTCTCGCGAAAAGGAAAGTCCACTCTCGATAAATCTGTACAATCCGTATTTCGAGGACACGAATGAAGTAAGGCCGAGGAGACCACTCAGTCCTAGTCGCATCATCCTTTCCTCTGCACAGAGGATCTGAGATCATTCCATCCTGGAAATCGTTTTCGTAGCGAGTTATCATATCCGGCGACGGGTCATCAAGTATCTCATCAAACCATGTTTCCAGGAGAACCAACCCGGTCCAACGCCATTGGTCATAACCAGTGACCATACAACTCATTGTAGTAGCGTAAATGCCGTCCGTGTGGTTCGGAAGTCCTTCACACTGCCCTAGGTACCTCAAGAACGTGGCATTTCTCGACGCTCGAAGTGGCTCTCCTGAAGGCTTCTTTTGACGATTGTCACTCATCAAGCCATTGTTAGATCTCCATACACGGAATGGCAGCGAAAATTGCATAGTGAAGGTCTCTGGTCCCTCAGTCTTGTTGGGTCATCAGCGTTAACACAACAAGATGTGAAGGAAGTCAGACCCACAGAAAACGAAACTCCGATTGACGGGCTTGCACATATATAGTTGATCATGAAGTCGCCCAAAAGCCGAGAGAGAGATTCCGGTGCAGTTCCAACAAGTGCGAGAATGCCCCATGCATCCAGATTAGAAATATAGCTATTAGAAAGTCAGTTTGAATCATTCTCTCAGCAAGTATTTAACCATGCATCATAGGTATTGAACGTAACACTCACATCAATCTCCGGTCAGCATTAACAATAGGGGCCTCGTCGTCATCTTCATATCGCTATTAAAGTCTCTGATGAGCATTCTATCAAGTTGGGGATTCTCGTTCGAAAAAGGCCACCAACCTGCTTCCTGAGTTCTTCATACAGCTCTTGTGCGGTTAGGCCTCCAAGGAATTCCCGGAAAGTTGGCTGAGCCCCGGAGTTGTTGCCGTCGATCAGCAGTGCAATCTTTTCTCTCTGTGCACCTTCATCTCCTTCCCGAAGCTTTCTTAGGCTCGCTTCCCAGACGATGTCAAGGATACAGTCGATACGATATCGGTCCGGCGCCCAATTCTCTTCGGTTCTAAGCATGAAACCGACATCGTCGCCCTCTAACTCTGCAGCGGTCGACTTGAGGTCCTCGGCGATAAAGGGCGAGTTTTCTCAGCTGACTGAGATGTTTTCTCGCAAGAAGAACCTCGACGGCCAAGAAATGCTCCAGAGCGCTTGTTCACTTTTGAAATCTGTACGTCTTTCGGTTTCGGGAGTCCTGCAGGCTTATCTGAGTCATCCACCGACCGGAGAACGACCTCCGCGTCTATGTTGCTGCTCATCTAGCTCGGAGAAGTAGAGGTAGATCCCAACACTAAGTCGTTTGTCAAAAAGGATGTTCCTCCTAAGATTAAAGCCGAAAACTCCGCTTCCAAGATAAGATAATCTTGTCATAGGCCGTGCAACAGAACTCTAGAAATCCTGTATTTGTAGCAATAGCTCGTATGATGTTGAAGCTCCAATGAGACAGAGCGTACCAATCACTGCAAACAAGATTTAGCCTCTTTATGTAATTCTTCTCCCCTTATCATTTTCCGTGAGCAGTAGCCGAAAGCCAGAAAATGACAGAAAGCGTCGAAGCGAGAATTGTCTACAACGAATGGGGTGTACAATCAGGTGATTTCAGGCTACAACAAGCATGAATTGAGAACTTGAAATAACGAACGTGATTAAAATACAAGAATTGTAGAACAAAAGAAATGGAATGCGAATTACAAAAGCATTGGTTACAATGAGTGCATGGATGGAAGCCTGGGAAGAGTGTACAATACATGTGTACTCGCAGCTGAGGTCTTCATGATAGGTAGTCAACTCCCGGCTCATTGCCGTAACAATTTCCCTGACTCCGATCTGAACACAAAAGGAAGGAAGCTTTACAGTAGAGACGTTCTCACACAACTGGGCTATCAGGTGATTGCAGACTTTGTTCCTGCTGGCGTATTTGAACCCTTTCCACCCTGCACCGCGAACAGCGTGGATAGCGGCAATTGGGGCAAGGATCAATGACTACAGTCATACCGCCTTGTCCACAGCAACACTGAGATTGAGATTAGTATTTTGTTAGGTAATAATGATCAACGAGGGAACAAGGCTGGCGAGCTGGATGGGCAGCGGATCGGACTTTAGAGTAAGGTAAGGTACTTACGCAAGTCCACATAAACGCATATTTCTTTCTCGGAGGCTGGAGAAGAAGCGTAGTATCAGTGACTGATGGGCGAGGAACGATATATTTATAGTCCGCATCACGAGAGAAGAATAGTGGTAAGTGTACCATTGACTCAGTGAGTTCTGCAATACAGGCGATGTCCTTCCCCAGTCTGCCGGATGGACCCAAATATCTCCCTGGTGACGATTCTGAGGCGTCGTCTTCTTTTGATAATCAATTGGACAGGACCGCATGCATCAGTTAATCAAGGCAGCCAGCAAAGTAGTCACATTGACCGATTAGGGCGATGCTAGGATTGGCCGAGAGTGATGTCTTGGTCGTTAAGGTTTCTATCACAGCTCCCAGTGGATGCCCTGACTTTTTGATCCAGGGAGGCTGTGCAACCAATACTTTTGCGAGTGTGGCTGGGTCGGTAAAGACTGTGGGTGCCTTGAGGCGAAACGAGGGTGAATGGACAACAGAGGTGGAAAGTCGGACAGCAAAGGTGGAAGGTTAGACTCAACAATCTTGCTCAACGAAGAGTTAAGTACCTCTACAGAGCTGACGGAATCGGAAAATCCTCCTTCCACTTGATCGCAGTTTCACACTCAAGTATCATACCGAAGACCTACCTCGTCCGTCCTTGCAATCGTGTGCCCGCGTGCTCAATTGTTCATTCCGCAACAGTTCGGCACCATTGAATTCTTCACGTCTTACACAGACCGCCATCAAGACACCCGTTCGGTCACCCAGAGCTAAGCAGTGCAACACCTGTGCGGATATGGATACCTACATCGCCGCAGATGTCGCGCGGGTCAAACTGGCATGGCCAGCGGAGCTTGTCTATCAAGATGCGAAGTCGAAGGGATGGCACCAGGGGAGTTTGGGCTTAAGTAGTACGATTGAAACAAACATTCGCTGCGCCTCCTACTACGTAACTTGACTGTCGTGTTCGCCCACTCGAGACATGAAAGGGATACGGCTAAGCACGTCGGCTGTACTCCGTACTTACCTGGGGTAAGGTAGTACCAGTACCTGATCCTTTGCTGAAACCGCATTCGGCTAGCTTACCAAGACACTGACTGGCCTCTGTCTTACGTCCGCAAATTTTTGGTTTTTCTGCATCTCAGTGACATGGCCAATTTCCACAAATTATTGAAGGCTGCGTCGGTTCACGTGTAAATTTTTACGGCTTGCATTAAGTAAAACCTCCTCTTTGGTACTCAGGCGATGGGCATGCGCCTCGATTGTTCTGCGCCTTCCGTTGCTGACCGGAATTTAGCTGAGGTATTGCAACGTCTAAGGACGGTTGGCCAAGAACACAGGGTTCATGGTTTGCATAGCAGGGAGGATGGTCAGAATTCAGAATGAACCAAAATTCAAGACTACCTCTAGCGTGTCCAAAAGGGAAGGTTTCAAACCTTCAAAGACGCTACGTCCTTTCTCTGCCATAGCGCAAGCCGTTTTTCGCCAGTTCCTTGTCGATTGGCCTCATACCTTTGATGAACTTTTCCCCCCTCCAGAATGCAACTATCCACGACTCGGTGATGGCGGATGGCCTGATTCCTATGAGTTAGAATTGCCCCAAATTCTGCTCTGGGGATCTCCTGGTTCGCCATGTCGAGATTGAACCTCCCATTCTCGTGGTGGGATCCTATCTCGGATGCGGAGTGAAATCCTCAGTTCATTGAACATGAAGGGACGAAAGGTGCATAAATGAGGGAAAGTACGGAGTATCGCCTGAAGTTCTGAGAATAGTTGGAGCTTGAACATTGCAGAAGGACGAACATGGGCACGAGCCCCTTTTTAACATGCCAGGATCTTTGGCTGCCCCTGGACAATCGCCGGCCACTTCCACACAGCCGCGGCCGACACATCCCAGCAGAGTCGCTCGTTGGAACGTGGTCTTAGACGCGTCAATAAAACCCATGTCTTATTGACTCGGGAGAGAAAGTGGTCCGTCATCCGTGGGTCGAAGATCAAGCCAGCTCCCGCGTAACTGCCGCGGCTTGGGGCCTGTGGATGGCCACTTTCAACGAGCCCGAACTCCGAAGTACGGAGTAGATGATGTCTCAATATGACCGAGACATTCCAGCTTGCCTACGGCAATCACCAACCCTGGGTTGATGCCGAGCAACTCGAAAGCGAGCTACCATCATGATTGACACAGGTGGCCATCACGTTCACGGATCCTGCACTGGGATGCTGGGCCGTCCTCTGAAAGAGTTTTTCATAAGATAGGGGGGAGAGGGCTTATAGTATCCTCGGTATGCCAAGTCTTTGGGGGTAATAATTCCATGCAAAGTACCTTAGTCAGAGCACCCTCCTTGTTCGTTTTGACGATGCTTGAGAATCTCACTCACCGTGCATGGAACTCGGCATGTGGCTAGAGTCCATGTCCGCACCAGCCAGCACACAGGACCCCGCTGACCTTGATCAGTTCAACGAAACGTCTGCGCCTCCGCCCCTTTAAATCAATGGGCTTAAAAAAAAAAAAATCCACACAATTACATATCGAATAGTCACACTATTGCAACGTCTACTCAACGCTATGAACACTATTATTTTGAGTTAAACCTCGAAATCTTAGGGTTATTAAATAACCTCTTCTTTATCTAAGTTTATAGTTAACCTCAATAGCCTTAAGATAAGGAAAACTTAGATAGAAAGATACCTCTATGGTATTAGTTACCTAGTACTTAAAATAAAGAACTATAACTATACCCAAGCTTAATAATCTATCCTCCTAACTACTCTATATAACGCAAAGATATTACGGCCAGCTAGTCGTAGTGAGTATATTAATAAAAGTTAGGGCTACGAAGCTAATAATAGTATCGTAATCGTAAATAGCTTTTTTAGAGCTATATCTATAAGTTATAAATAGGTAAGGCTTTAGTAATTAATTATAGTTTTATTAAAAAGGTTTTTAATAAAAATAGCTAAAAGCGATTATAAGATTTAATACTAAATTAATTATTAAAAAGTTATAAAAGTTTATTTTCGAGCTTAGTTCGAGTTTAATATAAATCTCGTATACTATTTAAATAGTTCTTTTATAATTAAGACTAATATTATAATATTAGTTTTATATGTAAATTATTTTTATTTTATTAATCCTATTTATAAACTGCTTATTATTTATTAGTCCTCCTTATTATTACGTAACTTATTTATAATTTTTTATTTTATTAAAATAACTTTTATATTAGTATTTTTATATATATATAGTATATTATAGCCATTATAAGCCTATAGGTAGCCCTAATCTTAGTTATATATATTAAATCGTAATATTAAGTTTTTTTTAAAAATCTAGTCCTATAGATTTATAAATAAGTATCCGTAGTCTAGGTTAGCTAGAAGTTTATTTTATTTTTATTTATTTTTTATAATATTAATATTATATTAGGTCGTATAAAAAATTAAGTTTAAAAACGAAATCTAAAAAAATAAAAAAAGATTATAAGTGTTTTACGCTTTTAGAATTTATTAAAGCTCGTTTAGTAATTACTAATATATTTTATATTTATTATTTTTATATAAAAGTTCTATATTAGTTTAATAAAAGTTTTTCTTATTATTAGATTTATATTAAAATAAAAAACTTTATAATAGAATATTAATAATTTTGATTTATAAGTTTATTTTTATTTTTTATTTTTATATTTATTTTAATATTTTTATAATTTAAAAGCTTAATATTTAATAAAAAGTAAGATAAAAAAAAGAGAAAGTAAGTAAAGAGTTTTTAAAATTTTATAAAGAGTTAGTTCGTTTTTAGTTATTAATAACTATTATTATTAATCGTTTATTTTATATTTAGAAAATTTAAAAGTTAATATATAAGTATTAAGTTAAGACTTTTATTAAGGAATATAAAAATAAATAAGTTTAATACTTTAGAGTTTATATTAAATATTTATAAATATAGTATAATTAAAAATTATAGTTTATATAAGTTCTTAATAATATAGATTAGTTTATTTTTAGAATTAATAACGAGTTTACGTCCTAAGCTTATTAATACCGTCCTTAGTAATTTTAAGAAATTATTAAGAATTTTAAAAGTTCGTAATAAGTTTTTATATATTTTTATATTTATAGTTTTTATTTAATTAGGAATTTTCGTATTTTATTCTTAATTTTATAGTTAATAATTTACTTAACTTTATATTTTAGTTTATTTAGTTTTATAATAATATAGTTTTTATATAAGAGCCCTAAATACTAGTTTAAAAGTAAAATATAAAGACTAAATAATATTTTATTATATTTAGAAATCTTAGTTTATAATTAATATTTAAGATTTTTATATAATTTTAAAAGTTTAAGTTTTTATAATTTAATTTATTATTTAGTTATTTTATTTTAATATTTTAATAGAGGAGATAGGCGCTATTCCCTTTTTAAAAATAGTCTTTTAATTTTTAATTTATTAATATACTTTTTATATATTATTATACGAATTTAAGGTCTAGCGAGATTTTTATTTAGAGTTTTCTAAGTTTTTATATTTATTATAGTTTTTATAGCTTATAGTTTTATTATACTTTTTATAAGTAGTTAGTTCGTAGTTATAATTAAGATAGAACGGTAAGTATCCTGTACTTTTACTTATTACGCTATTATATATAAACTAAGCTATTAATAATAATAATACTTAATTATTTTAGTTATAATTAATATAATAATAGAAGTAAGTTTTTAAGATTTAGTTAATTTTTTTATTTATTTATTAGTTTGCGAATAAAAAGCGGTAAATAATTTATAATTTATACTAAGTTATAAAATTAAAGATTTTTAAAATATTAAAATAAATATACTTCTTCTATTAAAAATAATTTCTTTAAGTAATTCATAATTAATAATAATTATTTTAAAGAACGTATATATAAGTTTTTTATATTACTTGATTTTTATAAAGTATAAAGTATACGTATTTAGTAAGTTAGTTAATAATAATTAAAATATTATTAAATTATATTTTTATAAGTAGTTCTTTAAATTTTGAGTTTAATAATAAAGTCTTATAAAATTAAATACTATATTTTTAATATAAGTAGTAGTAATTATAGCTTTTATAAAGTTTATAGGGCTATTTTTATTTTTTTATAAGTTATATAATTCTTAATTATATTAGCGATTTTAGTACGTATAGTAGATTTATTATAATATTAATAAATCCGTTTTTATATTTTTATAATACCTTAGTAACTATATATTTTAGTATTATATATTTTTATAATAGTTTTAGGGATATTTTTTAATCGAGCTAGTATTACTTTTTAATTATTATTAAGAGTTTATAAGCTAATATAAAGTTTTCGTTTATATTTTTTAAAGATAATTTATATTTCTTTAGGGACTTTGACTTTATAGTTAGGTTTTTATTAAGAGCGTCTATTTTATTATTTTTAAATTTTTTAATAGACTATTTTAAAATAGTATTTAGAGAAGTATTTTAATTATTAAACTTATTATTTATTTAAGTTCTTAGATATAGTAAAATATACGAAGTTTTTATAGTTTATATATATTATAATTTCGTACTTAGTACTGGATAACTATAGTTTTTATTTTAAAAAGCTTTAATAATAATTATTAGTTTTTATTATAAATTTAGTAATTAAGCTCGGTTTTATAAAAGGCTTTAGAATAAAAGCGTAAGGTTATAAGTATCTTTTATTATCTTATTAACTAAGTACTATTTTTATAATAAAGTTTAAAATATTAGTTTTTACTTCGAAAGGTTTAGTTAGATTTAGGATTATAATAATTAGTTCGGTTATAATTATATTTTTAATTTTAGTAAATACTTTTTATATTTAGGGTTTTAAATAAAGGGTATATCTTTTTATATTAAATTATTAAAAGGTTTTATAATATTAGTATATTTTTTAAAGAATTATTAATAAAAATTAATAAGTTTTAAAAAATTAAATATTCTTAATATTAAAAAGTATAGGCTAGTCCCTAACTATTTCTATTTTAAATCGTTATATATAGATTTTTCAGGTAATAATATAACTTAGGAAATCTATTTTTATATATAGAATTCGTATTTTTTAGTTTAGTAAAGAGTTTTATGTTTTAGTTTTTTAAAATATTATATAAACGTATTTTTATATATCTCGAGGTTAAGTAAGAAGATAAGAATATTATTAATATAAATAATAATAAAAATATTAATATACTCCCTAAGTATATAGTTAATTATTATTTAAAAAGTAGCGGGTACGTTAATAAGTCTAAAAGGTATTATAAAGTATTTAAAAAGTCTTTTTTTTATTTAAAATATAATTTTTTATTTATTTCTTTTTTTAATTTTAATTTAATTAAATATTATTTTAAGATTTATTATAGTAAACTAGTTAGCTTTATATAATAGTTCTCTAAGTTCGGTAATAAAGGATAAAAGTGTTACGACCCAACACGCATGACAAGGCCAGGGCCTGCCCCACAGGACCTACGGCGGCTACCACACCATATATGCGGGAACACGAACTCAGGGCGACTCCTCTCGGGACGGAAGAACTATGGGACAAGTCACGTGACGATAAGAGATAAGGAACTCCGTACGTTCGAGATACGGGGTCCGTCCTTTCACGATACGGAA